TCTGTACATTCATCGCCTTCATCGCATTTGGAACCTTACTCCTGGAAGGCCACGTCGCCGTCGTGCTTGGAGGCCACCCGGGGCTAGCCATCACACAGTGCATGGCGCTCTCCGGCCAGCTGCAATGGGGCCTGCGCCAGTCCGCGGAAGTCGCCAACAACATGATGAGCGTGGAGCGGATCGTGGAGTACAGCTGCCTGGCGCCGGAGCCGGAACCCGATTCCAAGGAGGCCGTCGACGTGGGCGCGGCGTGGCCCGACCGGGGCATGCTCCAATTCGACAACGTGTTTGTCCGCCACAACGCCGCCGACCCGCCGGTCCTGCGAGGCGTGAGCGTGCTGGTGGAGCCCGGCCAGAAGGTGGGCATCGTGGGGCGCACGGGCGCGGGCAAGTCGTCACTGGTGGCGGCGCTCTTCCGCCTGTGCTGGGCTGTGGACGGGCGCGTGGTGGTGGACGGCGTGGACACGCGGCGGGTGGCGCTGCAGGCGCTACGCGGCCGCATCGCCTGCATCCCGCAGGAGCCGCTGCTGCTGGCGGGGTCCGTGCGCCTCAACCTCGACCCGTTCGGGGAGCACGCGGACGCCGAGCTGGTGCGCGTGCTCCGCGAGGTGGAGCTGGGTGGCTTGCTGCTGCCGGCCGAGGGCCTGCACACGCCCGTGGGCGAGGGCGGCCGCAACCTGAGCGCGGGCCAGCGCCAGCTCGTGTGCCTGGCGCGCGCCATCCTGCGCCGCAACAAGATCCTCGTCATGGACGAGGCCACCGCCAACGTGGACGAGGCCACCGACGCCCTCCTGCAGAAGACCATTCGAGAGAAGTTCCGCGCTTGCACCGTGCTCACGGTGGCGCACCGTCTCGAGACCGTCATGGACTACGACAAGATCCTGGTGGTGGACGCTGGCCGCGCCGTGGAGTTCGACCGGCCGCAGGTGCTGCTGAAGAAAGAAGGCGGTTTCCTGTATCGGATGGTGCACGACTATGCGGCCGGCGGGAAGGATCTTTTAACCGAGTACGCCAGCGACATGAGCGTCTCAGGGCAAGTCGAGATGTGGCGGCCAGAGGATTGACACTCTGTCCCACTTGTTAAATCAAAAAACTTATAAACGTGCCCTTTGGCGAAAGGCGGATTTTTGTGCCTTGTAGAAGTTTATACTATTTTTTAATTCACAGACATGTAATCTTCAAACGGGATACTACTTTATATTTAGCATTCTACTGAAAATAGTGATTTATTGCGCATGTACGAGTAAATGCTTGTTCTGGCAAGTAATAGTAGGACATTTACAAAAACTTGCAATGTATTGTTATATTGGTTGTGCTTTTCATTAAGAAACATTTTATAATTTCTGAGCTGTGTTTAGAAAATATATATTTCAGCGTATCATAAAAAGCACTTATTTTTGCATCCACTACTAAAAGAGTATGTTTATTCCACTACTCAAAAGGTAGTGGTGGTACAAGGTGGGGGTCAAAAATTCTGAAGATACAGGTCATCTATAGCAACAATTCAGATGACTAAAACAGGTTTTTGTTCATGTTTGCAAAAGTGCAGTTCAACAGTAGTGAATCTATAAAATCTAATTTTTGTGAAATACATTTAGCATCTAGAGATTGAATAAATTTTAACAGTGGTTAAATAACATTTGGTGTTTAATTAACAACATTTTTATGAAGGTCAAATAATAAATGTATTTAAAATCATTTCCAAAATATAATAAAGAACTTACACTTAAAAAATTACTTCAATTAAAAAAAAAAAAAAAAACAAAAAAATTGCCTTAAAAAAGCATTGCCACATGAAAAGACTAATTGTATTTTCACAAGTATAATTTTTCACTTTTAAATCCTTTTTTACATTTTGAAGCCATGTTTAACTGTTTTGAATATACTTTTATTTTCAATTTTTTAGAGGTTTTACTGGAAAAATGAAATATATTATTCACTACCAGCATTGTGTCTCTTTACCACCGAGAAGAGACATCATGTAAACTTTTGTGTAAGTTTTGAAAACTCAAAGGTTTTAATGAAAATAGTACATGTGCTATGTGATTCAGTGTCTATGCTCACAAATGTTTAAAGAAAAAATTAGGAGCTGTTTAAAAAAAAAAAATCATTTATTTACCTTTGGAAAAATTGACATGATTTGACTCAAACAAACATAAAGAATATTTTGAAGAACTGTACGTAATGCTAATACTGACAAATAGATTGCATTAAAAAATATCTGGCTTCAATAATGATGATGTACAGTTTTCAAAAAGTTGCCCTTTTGCATATTTTCAAAAATTCACAATTATTAATATAACCCGGATCTTCACCATATTTGTAAGCACACTTTGTACTAAGGGAACAAGAAATTTACAGAAAATATTGTTTCTAATTTTGAAAATTCAGTTTGTTCTTCAAGTAAAGTGTCTGACATATTTAAAAGAAATGTTTCAAAATCACATGCTTCAATTTGAGGCAGATCAATCATAAAATATCCATTTTGAAAACAACATGTGTATGTTCTTTGGTTTTAAAAGTATTTTGCACACATAAACTGTTGCACCCTACACTTAATATGATATCTTGAACCTCCTGATCATAATATCATTCAATTGACATGGTACTATAGGAGAGTATACCCTTCAAAGCAAAGGTTTATTGTTTAAATTGTAAAGATTTGCAAAACGCTGTGACCAATCCTTTTTTCAAACTATTCTTTATATGACCAATTCTTCTTTCAAAATCACTAATAAGTGCATCGATATTCTCTAATTTTTATGTTAAGTGTTCTCTACTTATTACTTGCACTCCAATGTAACTGTATTTTTTTAATTCCAATAAATATTTTGCAGGGATATGTTGCGTATTACGTTATTTACTACCAGAGAATTCTTTGTCACTTCTAATGCTCAACTCCACTCTCAGCCTTCACATAACTCCCTTATAAATAAAAAAAAACATTCTCAAGTTGTGAATTATGAAGTCTTGGTAAAGGTAATAGATAATAACATCAGTGCACTAGCACAGTGACACATCTCGAAGATCATAATATTTTAGTTAAGTGCGGAAATATTTTAAGAAAACACTTAATATTACAAGGAGAAATTTCATAAAGATAGTTCAAAAACAGACAGTACATAGTGTAAAACTCTTAGAATTTGGCCATAAAATAAATGGCTCCGCTCAAAATAATCTGGTCTTCTTGAATATAACGATTTTTGTGATGTGTCACTTTTTTGTGTATCAATGATATGACATAAAATGTTTACCTAAATGATAAAAAGATTCCATGCCTTGTTTGATATCTTGTCAGTGTAATAATGTAAGAGGATTTAGAACCTGTACATCAAAGTCTTGTTATGAAATATGTATCCACAAAGTACTTGAATCAATATTTGTTAAAAGTCATAAATCAGGAAACAAAATATTTTGAGAAACTGAAAAAAGAATATTTAATGTGAAAACTATGCAGTTAATAGCACTTTTCTAGATATGATATTTTTCTCTAAATTTGTAATGATTGAGACAGTAAAAGAGAACGTTATTAAATTATATCTTTGGTTCTTTTTTTTTTTTTTAATGCTCTTGACTGTCACTGTTTTATCAAATACTGGAATAAATTTTTGTATTTTTTACATCGTAGTTTATTTTAATGGTGCAAGTTTTGTAAGGAAATACAAAAAAATATTAAATATCTGTATAAACACATTATAAGATTTTTCAAACATATTTACCAAATTAATGTTAAGCATCAAAAATTGAGCAGTTAGGTATGAAGTTAAACAACAAAATTCTTTCTGCTTAACTTGAATTCCTTTCCTCCTTATTCGTAATCCACTACATATTCTGTAGGAACAGGCCACTGTAGTATATTCTCATTAAACTCCATATCCTTCACAGAATTGTCTGATATTTTTAGTCCAACTGCTTTGCCACTTTGATTGGAACATTTCCTGAAGGATAAGCTTGTACGCCTGGGTGTACAAGATCAGGAGTTTGACCACAAACAAATGGATGATAGATGAGACCCTTGTATGCATCCACTCTTCTCTGAATTGTATTCGAGATAGTACAAACTGCTGACAGAGAATGTGTTTTCCTCACTTCTTGGCTTGTGTTGTCTCCTCTGAGATGACTATCTTCTTGTACATGAGCTTCCATTAGTTCTTGAAATCAAAAACATTGGAACCTGTGATTTCTTTAACCTCAGTTTCCCAGGTTTTGTACTTTTAATAATATACCCCATTATTTCATGTATACTATAATATGTACCATGCCTTCCTACTGTTTCATGACTCGAAATTTCGTGTTCATATTTTGTTGAAGTAGCGTCAGTCGGTGACTGCAGCTACTTCAACAAAACGTACAATTTGAGCTCTCTGAATATCAATACTGCCAGCAGAAATGACATTTTAACATCAAACTGTAGCTCTATACATGAAAATTCAAAATGCAGAAATGATTAATTTTCTTAAAACATCAACTAATGATTTAACAGACATAGATTCATTTATGTTGGAGAGCTCTTTCATTTTAACTCTGAATTCATCATTGAAAAGTGATTATTTAAATATATTTGTAATACTCTCGTGTTTTACATTAGCTTCATTAAAATATTATAAGTGTTGCAGCTTAATTATGTAGGCTACAACCTAAAATGCATATAATTACTTTGAGTAAGAAATACATCTGCCTTGAAATAACATCAAACACTTAAAATTAGTTTTAATAAATAATAAAAAATTAAATTATTTATTTTATGGTAAAATTCATGCAAGACCTACTCTCTAATTACACTGAAAATCTTCTTCTCCACTGTCAAGAAGTTTTATATTTGGGAGGCTTTGATCATAGATAGGTCAACATTTTGACCACCATTACCATGTATTTTTACACATTTGCCCACTAATAAATAATGAAATAGCTCCCCAGTAGGAAAGTACAGAAAGAGAGGGCAGGACGAGAAGAGGAAGGAAAGGGAAAGAAACAAAGAGGAGAGATAAAACTCTTAAAAGTTCACGAAAAAACATTTATTATAAGTTGATTCTTAGGCATAAACAAACAGTAACAATATGTTCCTTTTCAATTTATTCTGGAAGTTACATCCATAGCTGATACATAATACACAACACAAGGTAAGTTTTTACATTAAAATAGGTAGATAATTAAAAGTAAATAGTATCTTTTGTATGGACTAGACATTTGCTTCACATAAATTGAAGTTTACATTCAACAGTCAGTAACATATTAATAAACATAGTGAAACATCAAAGCAACAGATTAGAAGACAGAAAGAAAGATGCAAATAAATAATTATAATTTAGATATAAAATTGTATACTCAATTACAGATTTACATATAGGCAACAATCACCCGAAATAAAAGACCAGCAAGAAATGTTAGTATTCTTAAGAAATAAATCACTATAGATTAATCTGTCCTCCATTATTATTCTGTCCTTATATCAATTTCATTGTAACGTCACTAAATTTGTCCTTTCGGAACACCATTGCTTTGTTTGTTTGATTTTATTTTCAATTTTCTCTTAAATTTATTTGTACAGAATTTCCACTTGATGTCACTCAAGAACACTGAATGTATACCATTCTATTGTAGAGCAAATTATATCCATTATTACACAGTAAATATCCAAATTATTTTCTATGATGTTAACATTCCATATTTTTGTCATTCCTTTCACACAGCTCATATTATATGAGAATGACATACTTCATTGTTTAAGAACATTCCAACAATATCAATAGTATCAAAACGCCACTAATATCCAGTAGAATATTTCATCTAATACTATTAAAAACTTTCATACAATAGCTTCTTTAGGGTCAATTAATTTTCTGCTCCATCAAAGTACCATTACAGTACAGTATCAAATCTCTTAACGTTTTCAAAATATATGTGGCATTATCTAATTAAATTAAAAAATCAATACATTTAAATTAATCAATATATACAAAAACAAAAATAATAACATAAAATGATAAGTTATAAACAGTTGTGCCCACAAAATTCACATTAGGAATGCTCCTGACATTTCCCTTTTATTTTACCTATTCAATTTTAGTTACTACCAGCATAGAGGAAACACTGACTTTGTCCTCTGTGGCAACAAGTATGTTTGATGCTATTTAATACGAAGCACAAAGTATCAGAAAATAAATTTCTCAATGAAACAAAATTAACAATTTTAACAAGACAACAACAAAAAAGAATCTGTTGCATTGAGGTTTCACTGTTAATGCAAAACAGTTTTCATTGCTGAGATCTTCATTCATTCATCAATAGCAATGATAATTGCAGATATTCCATTACTGGACAAAAACACTTAGGAAAGATTTGTTTACTACTTCTCCTGTAAAGAGGGAGTGAATTACCTATATCATGAAACACATTACAAACATTTTACAAAGGTCCCATACGAGAAAGTAATAGATTTTCAATTTCTTCACTGGTATATCCAGAGCAAAAATCTTGAGCTAAGAAAAAAGAACATGAAGTGTAGAAAGTTAAGTGAATAAAAAAGCATTGAGAAATGTTAATGTCAGTGAAGTTAACAACAAAAGAAAATTAAATGTACCTGTACGTCCTTTGGCATCACGTTTATCTGGTTGGGCTCCAAAACTGAGCAAAGTTTTCACACAATTTGTCTGCCCAGCTCTGACAGCACAATGTAAGGCTGTTAATTTATCAATTTCTGAAGGTTGGTCAACATACATACAATATTCCACCATTAGAAATTCAATGACTTTTGAACGACCAGTCTGGGCAGCGAAGTGCAAACAACTTAATCCCATTGCGTCAATTTTTCGAATATTTGCCCCTTGTTGCTCCAATATACATATTATTGGAATGTGGCCACCTCGAACAGCTTCATGCAGAGGAGTAAGTCCACAAGAATCAACTGGGTCAACCGGACTTCCAGCTTTGAGAAGTTCTTCTACCACCACAGTATGTCCATGTAAAGCTGAAAATTGAAAGAAGTTGTAATTTTTCATGTTAAAAATTTATGAAAAGGTTTATCAAGGTGCAGTAAATTATCTTTCCTATGGTCTCATTAGCAGCCTACATAACATAGATTCCTGCAGCAACAACTGAAATATTTCCGGTGGTGGTCAAAAGGCAGTAGCTATCATGTCATTTAAATCATTGTCCACCAATATATTTAATATGCTATGGGATATTTTTCATAATACTACTGCATCTGTTTTACATCAAATTGAATGGTTAAAATTGTTCCAATGAGTATTGTAGACTTGTAATAAAGTTTTAAAACAGTGATTCTAAGTCAAATCATATGTTCATATATATAAACAAAAAAGGAAGTGAAAAGTTAATTTTAGAGTAGCGAAATTTATCAAGTGTAGATGATTCACAATTAAGTCTATAATGAGCACTGTTTTTATGGTGATGGTGGTGAGATGGTGTTAGTGGTGCAATAGTGAAAGCGGTGGCGGTGGCGGTGGCGGTGGCGGTGGCGGTGGCGGTGCGGAGGCGGTGCGGAGGCGGCGGTGATGGTGATTGTGTCATGGCGGTGAATGCGAGCTTGGTGATTCCGAACGTCAACTACGTCAACCTACGTGAGATTCGGCGCTAATCTACACGTCGGTTTGCAAAATTTTCACCAAGCTAGTGTCTCCCCTCTGCGGGGACAAGCTCTATGTTCCCGACTATATGTATGGTAGTGCAATATGAGCGTTACATATGTAGAGGATGAGGAGGGGACAGCAAAAAGAATGGAAAGATAGCCGTGGCTAGTTTGTTAAGGTATTGCCCTGCCATTGAATGGACAAACCACGGGAAACTATCGACCAGAAAAGCTGGTTGCTAGAATTCTCCTCCAGACAGTGACTAAATTCGACCCAGCTATGCAACTATAGCTACAGTCAAAAATTGTCCACAGCCAGAATTCGAACCCCATGACCTCCGGGTCAACAAAGCTATAAAAACAACAGATGTTGACATTGTTATTACACACAGTGGCGAGGCGGTAGTAGCCGAGGTCTTTGTGGCGTTGGTGGTAGTCGCAATGATGCAGAGGTGGTGGTGGTGGTGGTGGTGGTAATTTTGGTGGCGTGAGGGTGTAGGTGGAGATGGTGGCGATGCACTGGTAGTGACTCGTGATGAAACGGTGATAGTGGTAGTGATGTAACAATGCGGTAGTGTGGTTCGGTGCGGTGATGTAGTGTTGCTAGGAAGATTAGTGGTGGTTATTATTAAATATTTTGGAGGCTAAAGTGAATGGAGCATAGCGTAGAAGCCATCCTCCATTCTAGTCGTAGGCAACGAAAAAGTGGAACCCTTACCTCCTCATGAGCGAATGTAGATCTATGTGCGTGGGCGTAGCCAAGATAGAGCAGGTGTGGACACGTGCCCCCCTCTATCCCTCTAGAAATTGGGTAAGAAGTACAGAAATGAAAAACACAAAATACATCAATGAAATGAAATTTTGATAGAAAGATGTTTATTGTAAACATTAGATATGTATAAAGTATTTTAAATAGTAACGTAGATATTGCTACAAGGGTATAGACGAATAGCACGGTCAAAAGTGTCCCCAAACCAAATCGATAATTGCGATGCTCATATGAAAGAGAAGAAAAAATGCTGTAGTTCCTCAAAAAGAATCAGCCTCCTAGAGTCATCTGTTGCAGATACAAATTCGCGCCAATATGTGATTGGGAAAAACTATTTACCAACATTTAAACTCAAATTCAATCACGACATATGAACTCGAAATCTTATAGGAGTTACTTCGATTATGTACCAAACGTAGTCAGAATATCCACGGTGGAAAGAGATTGGTAGGCTCTTGCGTATCCGACTTCAGCCAATGAGCTCAGGCACTAGTTTGCGTCATAATTAGCGTGAATTTTAAATGTCAAAATTATCACAGTTACAAGTCAATGAAACAGAAACACATAAGCACTTTTTAAAAATAAAATATTGCATCCTTCATTCCAATTACACCTGAATCTTGCTATTTTTGGTTGGTCACCGTTGAAAATTGTCACTTTAAGCTACTTTCAAAATGTTTCTCTTGCTTTCCATGCAACATTGCGACCGTCTTGTCTCGCTTTTCAAAACGAAGTTTCCGTGTTGTCATGTGGTTGACGCAAACTGTGCTGCGTAAAACGAGCAAAAATTGGTGTAATGGAGGAGCCTACCCATCTCTTTCCACCATTGAAATATCGGAGTGAAACGATATTATTATGAACGTGCGAATATGTCGCACCTCGGGATTCTGCTCTCACATAGCTGCGATCATTTATTACTCGTATTTGGCACATGCTCGTTACTTGGCGAAAATTGTTAAAAGTCAGAAACTTTGGGTAGACCCTCTATAAAGGAGCGCGTGGTCCCAGTTGTTGAAGACAGTGACAATGATTAATTGTGTATGATTATGATTTTGTATGTGTATGATTAATTGTCAATGATAAATCTACAGCTGAGTAATTTGCTTTATATTCGAAACAATACATAAATCTGGTTGCGTAGGCTTCCGCGGCCGGAGTTGGTGTTGTCTAGGCTATCCGGGACGAGCCGCGTCACTGACATGGTGCCTAACGTTTCGGCCAGCGCATTGTGGCCCTCTTCAGAGCCAAGGAGGCCTATGCTCTGGAGAAGGCCACAATACGCTGGCCGAAACGTTAGCCACCATGTCAGTGACGCGGCTCACCCCGGATAGCCGACAACACAATACATAAATCTAACAACAAAAGAGGTTTGAGGTTTTTATTTCAATAATATAAATACTTTCCATATTAAAACACATATTTGTCGGCAAAAAGTTGTAACTTATGCTAGTGAGACTTTTCAATAATTTAAATATAAATTGTTTAAACATTAGAAAAAAAACTTTTTTTCCAATCATAGTTTGGTGCGCATTTCAATTTTTTAAACTGATAAAATTGATATGATTTTTTTCACTATCGTCTACATTGTTTAAAAATCTGAAAAAAAATGTTAGGGAATGTCTTAAGACACATTCTAGGAGGGGGAAAAGTCGACGATATATTTGAATTTCAAAATTAGTTGACAAAAACACCTTCAAATTCAAGTATTTTTCTCCATCTGCAATTTTTTTCAGTCTGAGACTTGCAATAGAAGCTAGAAAAGAATAAAACATGAAAAATACGTTTCTCGACGTATCTCTGCAACAGCTTTCCCTAGGAGGCTGATTTTTTGGGAATCAACATTTTTTATTCTTTCACACGAGTATCACAATTATCGATTAAGTTTGGGGACACTTTGTGCCGACTTATTCGGCATACCCTTTCTTTACTTAATTTCCTCCAGCCATAGCACTAATCTTGGCTACGCCTATCGTGTGTGCGTTAACATGGAGACCCTTTAACTTTAACCTTTACTTTGTGAGAAAAATGTGTCCGAAAAGAAACAGACGAAGAGGGGTGAAGGGATTCTAGAAAGAGTTCTTACAAGGGACTTTTCAACAGTTGTAAAAAAAGAGCTGCCTTCGCGGTCTGAAGTTACTGAAAAAATTAAAAATTGGTAGTGGCCGCGCTAATGCCCTGAACAACCTTTTATGCAGACAACTCACGTTGGTGCTGCCATTGCTCTCTAGAACCTCTACTAACAGGTTACGTTTGACATTTTGCTGGACGAAAAACCTAGTTCATTTCGGGGAACATTGTGATCCAGTATACTAAATATGTGGATTTATTTTGTTTATTCCGCAGTTCGTTACCAGAGATTCATCACAGGCGACAACCGATTATATTACATAAATCGGCACAATTAAATTGATTATATTTGGGTCAATTAATCTATACATTACTTAAAACCATTTTACAGTTCGATTACTGCAATTCAATTTATTTTTTTAAATTTCTAATGTTACATTTAGATTTTTCTAAATGCGGCTCTCAGGGCGCAAATCAACCCTCATCATAAGCATTTGACAAAATAACTATAGAGTAATCCGTAAAGCGCCTCTGAGCGGCCTCGAATGCGATGATTGGCTCATTGATTAAAAACATTTACTTCAACCTATCATTGGCTTCAGAGCAGTCTTGTCGAATAAAACAATGATAAAAGCATTTTTGTTTCTTGGGCAAATTCACTAGCTGACACATCAGCATGGATTAATATTTAAAATTGGAATGGCTGCTTACCGGAGTCCATGTAAGCTCATTCAACAGAAACCTCATACACTGATGTGTCTGTGCCAAAAACAATCTAAGATTGGCAAAGTTAACTATACTTGAATAGCGCGGGAGAATAGGCGTTGTGCCGCGTGACATCGCGGACTTGTCAAAGGAGTGAGCAATTTCATTAGCTTAATGTTTCCCTGCCCTGAATTGGAGCTGTGCCCGTAGGAGCACTTGTAGCCTTGGCGAACATTCTCTCAGCGTAGGTAGGCAGCTCCGTGCATACGACGATGTGCGTAGTGAAAAGCGTGGAATGTTCGTTGTTTTTTTTTTTTTTTTTTTTTTTTTTTTCCCTTTTCGGTAACTTCCAGAGCATAACGGCAGCTTATTTTTTCACAGTACATAAAAGTAGTAAATATCTATCAATAGAAAAAAAAATATGAGGCCAGATTTCGAACTGCGCCTTTTGAAAGGTCCCTTGCTCGTCTGTCGTGACGCTGACCCAAGAGATGGTTGGTTCCAAAAAAGCATTTCCACTCGTCCTCAGCCCTTCAGAGACGGAAGGTCGCTAACCGCTAACAGGTCACCACTGCCCGCTGCTGGACCATAATGTGATTCCGGGCATCCCTTGTGTGGCTTCGCTGCAGTACACTGTACAGGAAGGTCCATAATTGTAACGCGAATGGGCAATACGGGCAATGAAGTTAAAATTGGATTTTAAGCACTCAACAAATTTCTCGTATTAATACGTGAAACCGTTCACTTCGTAAAGCATAAGATTTACATGAGGAAATGAAGCTAAACAAGGTTCAGGAGAATAGCCAACTATCACGTGAATTGCAAGGATAGGTCACGCACAGGCCCAGATGATGGAAGAGGATGCAATGGCATTACGAATGCTCAAACAATTACTCAAAGGGGTAATAAGATTTTGCATAGGTGACTGCAAGAATACTTAGTAACCTGAATACGTGAGTGACCACGATGTAACTTACGCATATCACGAGAATGACAACAATTAGATGGTGAGCAAAGGCGCAAATTGGTTGGTAGAAGCTGGAGGAGGAGAAGGGGAGGGAAGAGGAGGAGGTGGAGGTGGAAGTGGAAGTGGAAGTGAAGGTGAAGGAGGAGAAGAACCAAGGTCCAGCTATATATCGCTAACCAGGGCTTAGATGCAGACTCGCTGCTACAAATATCGTTTCATTTTAATTCAATGACAGGTGAGATTAAATCCAGAATATTGTTGCAAACTAACACGTTGTCATTAGTGTTACACTACCGGTAAGTCCCTCTGTATGTTTAAGGCTACGTAACAAACCATGAACGAACTCGCCTGCGAGAAACTATCTGAAGATATCCGCGGCCGAAACCGGCAGACTACATCAGGAAACCAGTCAGCGAATTCTTGTACTACGTTGGGCGCATACAAACATTGCACGAGCATGTAAACGCCATTATTTTGTTACAATAGAGATTTGTCAGATTCGTAAAATTTTGAAGCAATGTGGAATGTTCATTCCCCGAATTTGCTTGTGCGACAAGCACAGACCTCGTAACTGATTTGGTGATTCTTAACATTACGGAGACAATAAACAACTTTTTCTCACTGGAACAATAATTAATTTTGGTCCCTGCCCACAAAAACTAAGAACTTGGACATTCTGTTACTAAAAGATGCGGACTCACATGCAATATGTAAGGGTGTCCGACCGTTGCAACTAGGAGATGCAACTATCTCCGAGTTATACTGCAGTAGTAATCGTACAGTATCCACCCAACCAGTGCGAGTTGCCAGATGTAATGATGTCCAACCATCTTTGTTCTTAAGCAGTGGATTCGCGCCATTCTCCAATAACAAACGTACTGAGTCGCTTGCAGACAGTCCTCCCTTGCAGCATGCTAACATCAAAGGGGTCCAATCGGCAGCTTTCAGTGGATCGACGCAGGCACCTACAAAAGATTCCAACTCGACAACTTATTCACTGATGAGACACACCTTTAACTCTCAAAATAAAAATAATATGAAAGTCGTCTTTGCAAAATATGAATGCGCAAAATAAACATGGATCTGTGAAACTCTCACAACTCGGTGGGTTTTCAATTACTTGTTTGCTTCTTAGAAAAAGGAATTTATAAATGCCTAAAGAAAAAAAAGGGGCTGCTATTTTGGGCACTACTAGGAGGGGGGGGGGGGGGCAAAAAAAATACTAAAGAGATTTACTAAATTACAAAAAATATTTACAAAAAAAATACTAATTTCATTTATGGACCCTGAATTACGAAACTCCTCATATTCATTAGTACATTATGCAAGCTTATCATATTGAACAAGAATAAAATATTACTAGAGTCCATGTTCTTATGTAATTACATATTTTTTGTCTTCATTTTCTCTGATCTTAAAATTGTTATCTTGAGTATTTATTGTAATTTGAATACAAAAACAAAATTTTTTGTTGTATATTTTCACACATTGTGTACTGTATTACATAATTTGTTTACATTTTTAATATTTTGCATTTTAACATCTCAATTTTTTTAGAACTATTGGTTGTTGCAGATGTGTAACACTTCAAAAAGAGTTCTACAGTGAATGATCGCTTTATTTAAAAATTTATTTTTAACAACGGTTTAATAAACACTTTATTAATGTAATTTCAAATTGTGCATATTGTTTGTTTGTAAATATTCTGCAAATAAAGAGTATATTTTGATATTATATATTATATTCCTTTTCACATACACACTCTTTATCATTTTCATATCTCATATTTTTTCTGGACAATATGTTACACATCATGCATGTTATGGAAAAAAAACAAGAAACATTTTGTGTCTTTTTGAAATATGAAATGAGACATGAAACATTTCAACTGTTTCTTCCTCTTTGTCTCATAATTATACTCTGTCATGTCATAATTATAATCACAGTCATATAAAATGTAGCCTTTCAAAGTTTTTGTTTGGTTCTTTTGTCTCCCCCAGCCCTTGAAATTCATATTCCTTCCCAACAATGTTTTTTAATTCAAAAGCAGCTTTCGATGGCTTAGCCATCATCATCAGTTGTCTGATANNNGCAATGACAACATCTTTAATTATTTTAAAAATGCCAAAGATATCCTACCACAACACCTATATTTCATATTCCTTCACTTATAATTTAAGCTTTTTTAATCATGTACTACCTATTTGGAATAGCAAATTAGTTTTTTGCAAATGAATGTGTTTTGTCTGACATACAAATTTACATTAATTTTTTTAATGCAATACATAGGTTTGCAACAGTTTTAGGAATGAAATAACCCCGATAATCTCCAGTACTTACGTCCATCAGAACACACATCATGTGTTTAAACATTCATCTCAAATTTATTGTTTTCCTTTATAAGTAATTCATACCAACAACAATATCACACTGAAATTATCAGCAATACTTTAAATAAGAACTTACTTTCTATTAACATTATCACTACATGACACAGACATATAAATAAAACTATTTGGTTTGGTATTTTTAATATAGGATGTATTCAAAAGCAATTACACATTCATATTCATAACTGAAAAAGAAGGTAAAAATATTAAAAGAAAGAAAAAAGTGAAGATTGCCAAATGGATGTGGTCAAATTGTTGATCACATCTCATAAATTTACCATGAAAAACATAGAATTAAAAAAAATAATTAAATTGTTTATTTTAAATTTACAGCAAAAATTTTGCTGTAATTGGAATAAATCTTTTGCAAACAAAAAAATATTATCTAGAAAGTGTTTTTGTACTGGTATTAAAAGCAAAGTCTCACTAGTGTTAATTTATTGTTTACCTTTTACCTTATTTTTGACACAGTAAAATTATTTCATTGCTGAATATACATTGCCTCCGGTGATTGTTATCTTTATCGTTCAAAACTGATCAAACATTCAATAACAAAGTATACATTAAATAATTTTTTTTTTTTTTTTTTTAAATTTTAACAAGTTTTAATTATAATTTGGGACCAAATTGAGAAAAAAAGGAAAGTCCTCAAAGCAATCAAAATGCTGAATTTTGCCAACATAAAACTTTGGCTTTAATTTTTTAACAAAATATAAGTCCTCTGGACTGTATTGGGATTACTATAAATAAAAAAATACTTAATCAAAACTACACATTTTAAAATATGGTTAGCATATGCATATTAAATACATGCATATCAATTAAACAATAGGTGCTTGTAATTAAAGTGATAATACAAGTTTCATAACTTTTGATTTGCTGAAGGAGGTTGCAAAAGAAATTAACTTATGGTTATCAGTACCATACCATAAAAATACTAAAGATTTAATTCTAACCACAAATTTTCTTGGAGCAACAGGTTGGTCACCCATAGTTTTTATGTTGTAACTGTAGTATGTTAAGATTAATTGTACAATTTTTTGTAATTTGAAAATTAATTTACCTTGTCTCAAAAGGTATTCCACTATTGGCACACAACATATTTGGGCAGCCTCATGAAGACATCTTTTTCCCATATTGTTACCTACTTCAATTAATCGATGACATGTCTCACAATTTGTCCGTTCATCTTCATTAGAGTGACAGAACTCGACAAGCATTCTAAAAAAGGCGGGGAGCGAATTACATCGGGACTATGCAATATGATGGATTCAAGCAAAATATTGCACTTACCTCACGATAGACATCGACGATGTTCGTGCAGCGACATGAAGTGCAGTGTCACCTGTTTTACGGAATCGAATTTCTGACCACTGTGTTTTATTTTGACGCATATTTGCCAATATTTGGCGAACTGCTTGCTCGTCCTGTCTCACCACGGCTTTAAGTAAAACATCTGTAGTTTGAGTTTCGGAGGGCATATTGGCCATATCACATAAAGACAGATAAATGTCTTACTTTAGAGAAACCATGACAACACTGGGGATCAATATTCTGTCAAAATGATATCAGCAGCCTCAGATTTTTTCTTTTGGCTGTCAGTGACCAATGCTAGCGGTATACCCCATGTCACTTACCGCGGACTTTCCATTCATACATGAACCAGAGGGGTCGAAGCGTACATATCTCGCTGAATCTCGGCCAGGCCCCTATAACTCCCATATAACGTGGTGTAGACCATTACAGTTACGCGCTCTAGAGCATCACCTTCTTACACGAAGTAAAATACGAACTGCTACCAACGTTATTTGAAACGCGCGTAGGTTCTCGGGACGCAAACACACGAGCTCGATACAAAAGATTGCGCCGCTGTTCGCGCTACCTTTTCTTTCACGCGTGTATTATTATGATTAAATAAAATTTGGAAGATAAACACATGGTATTTAACTTTTTTTGTAATTTATTTCATAAATCGCTCGTAATCAAAGTGTATTCGTATTTCTTGACCAATTTTTGTGTGCGAAAGTTGGTGAGTCTTACCAGCAGCTGTATCCGGTGACACTAGCGCATCCTATAGCAGCAACCTCTAGCTTTGTCCCCAATTTTGATGGAGAGTTGCCGGGCCCTGATCTCGGCGTCTTCGCATAACTCGTTCTTCTCTCCGCACCGTGTTCTCGCCCCGCTCCCATGCAAAAACACCTGGACATACTACCAAGCCTACCAAGTGTCGATTTACGTGCAGTGCCTTCAGTTTCCAGAGGGGCAACATTTTTATCGTTTTCTTCAGTAGTAATAAAAAAGTACATTTTTCAAACCATTAGTTTTCCTTTGTAAATATATAATTGAGAAGAAACTCCATAACAAAAATTTGGATAATAATACAAAAACGTTTTAGAACAGTCATTCTTTTTGTTATTTAATTAACACTCTTTATGTCCATAGTTTCTGTTTGTTTCCTTTGAAAAGCTAAAACTAGTGATCACGTAATTTCTCGAATTTTCATAATTTTGCAATTTTTGAAAATTTAGAAAGTTCAACGAAAATGAAACCTGCCCATTTTTAAGAGTCCTTGACTCTAAACGGAACAACAATTTGTACTCATTTTGAGATTTTTTCATAAATTACATTAACATCAATCAGAAATTACACGAAAACTACTAGTTTTTTTTTCAAAGGATTATACATGACATTATTTGAAGATCTAACTATACAGAAAATATAAATTTTTAATAGAAAAATCGAGTCATTGCCTTTACTTAATGCAGAATAACTCGAAAACTACCCATATTTTCGAAAAACTGTACATGACCTTAATAAAAAAATTCATTAAAGAATAGATTTCATGAAGGATTTTTAATTTTTTTTTAAAGAAGTCGCCGAAAAAATTTAACATCCTCAATTTCCGAAAATCCAAAGATTTTGACAGAAATGGGAGGTGCATCATTTTAAAGTGTCATTTATGCCATCCGATTAAAGAGTTTAATCAAAATTTGATCCATTTTTGAGAACATATTGAGAATGTTTTAAAAACAATGTGAAGTACCCCCAAATATTAAAATATATTTCAAACTCACAGAGCTGCAAGTTCATGTGGGTCGATCGGAAATATCAATTTAGGAGAAAACCGACTGCACAATTTAGACATGTGGTGTCCAACTTGCAAGATCTCAAGAAACACAACTGAAACCTTTGTTGTGATTGCGGGCCATATGTCAATTAGTCGGGCGATCCATACGCGACTTTTCCACATTGTTGATAACTTTGCCCGGCTGCTCTTCAATGGAGGGGAGGGAGGGGGACGGAAGCATGCGAGATATCAGTCCTTACCATGCAAAACGTAGGGAACCATACTGGGATGATTTTGAATTTCTGAATTTACTAGAAAAAATCTTGAATCTAATATGAACATTTTGTTCCATTTAAGGCGTCTTTGATCTCGTCCCGATAAGGTGCCTGTGCTAGGAACAGAATGTTCTCGCCTGACATGGATGAAAGGGGCTTTCACTTTTGATTACACAGCGATTTTCGCAACTTTGTCCCTAGCAGCTGTTGAGTTTCATCCAATTGGGAACTTAAACGTCACCATAGTGACGTTACTATGGTGAAGTTTCAGTTCTTTTGAATGATTGAATGAAACCGAAGCCAGAGGCGAATACTTCTCCTAAAACAATCTAGAACTATCAATATCAAAACTTTGTACCTTATCACTGATAGTGGCACATATAGTGGGAATTTTCCACCGATAGTGGGAAAAGGGGGAGGCTAATACTTTTATATTTAGCAAAATGCAATATTCTGCATAAGAAAATAACAAGTCAATTACACCAAAAGTTCTATCACTCCCCGATAAAAAACTTGGCTGCGACACTCCACTTCCTGTTAATTGATTGACTCTGCCAGAGACAGAGTTGCATAAATCGCAATACAATAACCTTTCGCTGGCCACAATAAACGTCTCTGCGGGCAGTATGCAGCCCGCGGGTCGCCATATAGACAACCCTGGTTTTGGCGCTAGCGTAGAGCATAGACGAAAAGTAATTTACTACATACGGGAATAAGATTTATCCCCGTTTTGGATATCAGGGGCGCATCATACAGTTTTCCTGACGATAAATTGCCAATTTTTGCCTCAGCATTACAATATTTTCTCCTTCCTACGAAGGCAGAAAGGCCGAGAAAAGAAGATCATTATTTGGTTTGATTATTTGTTGTTTCCAAGCAGGACTGCTATGGCAATGGTCCCGCAAGTGCAGTGCATGTTTTCGTCACGGTAGGTGACTGGTGTCCTTCCCTCCTTCAAGCGAGTTTGCGAAGTGAGTTTATTTCCAAATGCTACTACAGTTTCAACAAGATCTGGATACTTGGGTTGATTGGGTAGTGATTCCGGGCGCGTCAACTGCTAAGGCCATTAGTCCCGTAAGTACAACGCATGTTTTATACCAGAAGTTGGTGGTAATCTTCTCCTTTGGATGCACAGATCGAGCGCCGACCTAGCGTCGGTTAGCGGGGATTTCCCTAACCAGGTATTTCCGCCCCAGCCGGGACAAGCTCTAACCTCTCGGCCGGTCTCCGGCAGTGTGGTGCGTGTCAGTGCAAGTGTGTAGAAGGGGTAGGATAGGACAAGGAGTGGGAAGGAAAATTCGCGCGCGGCCTGTGACCCGTTTGCTAGGGTACTGCTCCGGCATTCGTCTGGTATTCATCGGAGAAACAACACAAACCATATCAGCCTTGCTTCTAGAATTCTCCAAACAACGACAGAACTCGGCCTAGCTATCTAGCAGTGTTGAAATCCTGCCAGCGTCTGGACTCGAACCTAGGACTTCCCGACCAGAGGCACTACACTGTCATCAGTTAATGCCCTGAGCTACCTCTCCCGGTGACTAATTGCTATCATAAACCCTCTCAGTTTCTGGTAATAGATATTCAATACTGAGCAATTTGTTCCAGTTGTGATCTATCAGCATCGTCGTTGGAATTGGCCATCTCCTCCAGTTAACTACCATAGTTTACCTTCTGCTTGCAAAGCTCTGTCTCTCAGTAAAACGAGAATTGTTGAAAGTCAGTGTCTTGTTAGTTGCGACAAACCGGCTAATAATTATCATCTGCATCCTGTACCATTCTGTATGGATGAAATCATCCAACTTTCTTCTCCCGTTTGGTATAAATTGACCAGATCTTGAAAAAAAAACAAAAAACAATTCACTTAACAGAAATTAACATTATTCACTGTAGAAAACACCCTTTCCAAATATTAATCGAAATTACTAGCACGAATAAAAAAGAAAGCAAATCCGCAATTTTAAATTTATTTCAAGTATTTATTTGTAGAAATTTCTTCTTAAGTTATCTATTATTTGCAACGTAGTCTGAGAATTCGATTTGTTTCATTTGCCCTTTTTTTCGCTATAAAGTTGTTGGTACGTATTCCTCAATTAAGATTGCTTGCTAAGAGGCACAGAAACTCACAGAAGCAAAAGGTTCGGATTATTGAATTTCTCGGTAACGATCCCCATAGCAATAAAGCATATGGAAGCTCAAGGATACAGCAAGCAATAGCTCATTTTCCCTTTCTAGAACCACCATTGAATATCTTTCTTGATTTCAAGTCTGTGATACTCTTGTTACTAGTGCGTGATATTAGTATAATCCGTTTTCTTGAGCCCTCGCTTCGCTATTTGCGAGAGGAATGGGAGTTTTGATTACTCTGAGGAAAGGAATTTTGTATCAAATTTGTAGTTTGTTTTTAGATACGATATATTTTCTATTACACGGGAGTGAACATTCTGGTTATCAGATTTTGTCTACAACGCTCGTTGCTATCATTTATTTTTCATTCAACTAATGTGGGCAAAGAAGTTGGGGGTAGGTATTCCGGGGCTCAAGAAAACGTGAGCGTATAATACTAGTTAGTGGTAGTGGTATACGTGGTACATGAGCGTATAATCTATTCGCGCTTACAAACTAATGCAACCCCAATGGAATACATTATGAAAGCTGGTGGTGCTAAAACAGCACGTACTTTCTCGCCATTAGTAATGGTTATGTTGTATTCCACAATTTCTCTCCGAATTAACATATCTCAGTCATTTTCTGTTGTTGTAAAACTTGTTCGTAGAACATTTGATACGAAAATTAAATAGTTTCAAACAATAGATTTTTTATTAAAAACTTAAGAGGAAAATATATTTCTGGCATTGAATTAATTGTATAAGGTACGCAGTGTATTCACGAACATATCGGATGAGTTATTTAGTCTTACAATATTCTTCGTAAGTAGTATGCGAGAAAGTAAAATAATTAAAAGTTAATAAATAATACAATACTGATAACGTTGGCAAACAAATGCAATTAGATCAAAATATATAGTATGTATGTACTTGGTGCGACAGCTCGTAAATGGGCTCAGGCCTACCGGCGACATCCCTGCCTCGCGGCCATGGGTTTGAGGAGTTATGAGCAGTTAGCACGTGGACATCCCCATGCCGTTTTCTGGTTTTCTCAACCTGAGAGGTGAATTTTCTCATCATCACACAGCAACATTTCCAGAGACATTGCAAAGGAAAACGTGCAATATAGTCTTGGCTCGACCGGGAATCGAAGCCGGTGCCGCATTGTGGAAAGTGAGCACGCCGACCAAGAGCTAGCACGAGATCAAAAAATATATAATAGTAATTATTAAACTCTACGGTTTTGTAATATTCTACAACTATATAAAAGTATTAGTTTATATTATCACAAACGAAGGGCAGCCATCATAATCACCTTGTTATCAGTGCGGTGTTACAACAAAGGGTTACAACAACCAATAAATATAATAAATAATAATAGTAAAATGAAATGTGAATTAATATACCAATTAACAATAAAATTTAATCAAAATCTATGATGCCATTTTTCTTTAAATTTTAAAATGTTCCAAGGGCTTCATGAAGTGTACCCTCCAGAATTAAAATATCGTTTTCAAATTCAATGGGTCGCGACATCAGCCAGATCGTTTGAGGAATATCAATTGTGGAGAAAATCGGCTGAACGGTTAAACGGAATCGGCTAACGTTCACAGACAGACGTTTTGACGTCAATCGATTTGTTGGTATCAAGGACACATAACATGAATTCTGGCTTCATTTCTTGATCGATAATTTTCCCCCCTAAATTTTGCAACTGGATTTATCCACTTTTTCGTTACAAGGGCCTTGTATTAA